GTTTAAGCTCCACTAAGCCATAGTTCTAGCAAGAGCCAAGCAAAAACACTTGAGCTACAAGAGCTACATCCTATGAGCTCAGTGTTCTTTTAAAGAGCAAAAGACTCTTATTTTCCATCAGTGAATAAATCCAATTCAGTATTCCTATAAAGAAGAGCTAGCCTTTTATTCCTAGACTCAGATATTATGCATCCCTACAATCCCAATCAACTCAGTCTACATGTGTCTGGCTTTTTTCTGATCTGCACCTACCACATAATTTCCACACATGATCCAGCTTAAGGTTACCCAAATTACTAAAAATGTAAACAAAACCCTGTTCCTCAGTCCTTCCTTAGTGAACAAGCATCCAGCAATACCACACTGGGTATCAATCCTCTCTAGCAATCGCAGTAAGTGTCACTTGTACCCTGGTGAAGTTCTGAAATAAGAGAGCAGAGAGCAAAGCTCCCCTTGGGAGCTGCAGAACCAGGCAGGACACACCTCGGCTGTCACTGCATTCTAAGCTGCTTGAACTTGGACACACAGATGTAAATTCAGTTGTGATCACAAAAATGGTAAAACTAGCAAGATTAATTTATCACCTAGCAGACAATATGGGGCTGTTCAGTTAGCACCATGCTTCTAAAATATCTGTATCCTTGGAACACCACAAATTCCTCAGTTGGTAAAAATATAATTGTAGACCCTCAAAAATATAGCCTGGAGAAAACCAAACATTTGGTGCTGCTCCTATTATGCTGATCTATTGAGTAAGTTCTAGCAGGTCAGTCATTCCATCAGTTTGCTTACAGTTGACATTTACATTTACTTTAGCCTATAAAAAAGTTCTGTCATCCACACACGTGAAGTCCAAAGCAACAACTATAATTTACTACTACTAAGACAAGACAGTTTAGATAAGACACAGCTCATTCAAAACACATTGCAAAGACTTCTTTTCTACAGTTTATCTCTCTGTCCTTGCCCCCAGCTATCTCTCCTTTTAAGGAAATAGTTATATTACAGATGAATGCCTACAGTGGTTAATAGCTGCTGATTCACATTATGCTGACAAAGAATGAACAAGCATTTTAGTGTGCATGCTCACTGCTTCATCTTCAAAAAGACTGCAAAAGAAAAAAGTGATAATAAATGAAAAAGCAAGCTTTGCTGCCCAAGAACAATGCTTTCTCCTTTAGGAAGAAAGTATATTTAATCTTCAGCTATTAGCAGAATCATAATTCTAAACTGTCTTCTTTATTAATCCAACACATGGAAGGCATTATTCACAGCTTAATTACTTATATGAGATTTTTAAAAAAATACTAGTCTGTATTTTTGTAGAATAATTTTAAAAACTGCATTTGGACTGCTGTCAAGTCACAAGTAAGTATTAAAAAGAATCACGGAAGTCTGACAAGTCTTAAGTCTGGGCTAAGAGTCTTAATTTGTTTTCCAGATTTTAAGACTAAATACACACTTTTTTCTCAGTATTTGCAAGCTATATGAGAAATTGGGACATGGGAAGGAGAGCAAGGGGGATCCTGAGAGTTGCTAGCAGTCACAAGCCTCCAGAAGCCACGATTTTAAAAGGAAAAAAGAGATTGATACTGTGTAACCATAGACATTTTCCAAAGAACAGACGTTTGAAAAGCTTCCCCCATAGGATGACACAAAGTCTGTGTCAAAGCCAAATAAACCTCAAACTACTCTGCAGTTTCCCATTATTTTAGATGACGCTAATTGTTTAATTTTTGGATCAGGGATAAAAATCATGTTGTGGGATTTGGTTTGTTTCACTGCTAAAAAATGAAATAGGTCTGAAGGGATTTCAGAGACTCCTCTGAAAAATTGCATCACTTACAGCCCTTCAGTTGTGCTGGTGTTCACAGAGAATTGCTCTGAAAAGATAACAATGCACAGACTTTCTACAGAACTTTAAAAAAAAAAACGCAAAGCCTCTATCAACAGCAAAAATAACCACAAACACAACACCCCAAAAATGCAAGTAAAAAGTGGTTTCATTTTTTTCTTAAATAAGTACTAGGTTAGATAATAAAACATTCACTTAGGATAAGTAAAGCATGCACAACTAAAATCTGTCAACTCCTTTCTTTGCTTAAAGGACAAACACCTTTGTATTTAGATCTACATATTCTACTCATTGCCACATTTAAACAAACCACATTAATAACTTCATCTGAATGACTATCACAATCCATTTACAAGTAGATATGTCAAAATATTTATGGTGAATACTAAATTAACCATTTAATGTACTTAGAAGGACACAAGCAACAAGCTGAAAACTGTGAAACAGCTATATTTCCAAGTCAAAGAAAATTCTTCCTGGAAATTATATTCAGAATCTCATTTCTGGCATTATCTGTTTAACTTTGATTTGTTTCCACAACTGTTCTTCACAGTATGCAAAACTGAAAGAAATCTGCAAATGTTTTAGACATAAATCAGAATGAACTTCAGAAACATTTCTATGAAAACAGAACAGCACAGGTTTATCAGAACTAACAATATATAAAAACAAAACTTAAAAAAAAAATATATGCACTAGACCAGGCTTCAGATAGTAGCACTAGTAAAGGTCTCCAACAAATCACATGAAACTGCCTCAGTCTTCCCATCCTGAAACTGCAGGCTATTTTCTATCTGACATATGATGTCAAAAGACACGATCTTTCTAACTGACCTGTAAATAACCATTTTTGGGATGCCACCACATGAAATACTGATCTCCAACTCTGGGAGAACATCAGAAGGACATGGATCTTCTGGAGTAAGTCTAAAGAACAAAAAGATGCTCTGAAGGCTGGAGCCTTAAGGTCCCTTCCAATGCAAACCACTCCAGGATTCTGTGATTTGATGACCTTAAAAGTAGCATGAACAGGGCGAGCAAGTGCCATACATTTACTTATCACAGTATTTGTCAATGGGCCAAGACTGGAACCCAGACACCTACAAACATTATGCTGACAGTTCAAATAAAGTCATTCACAAAGTATCTCAACACAATTTTTAAAATTAATTGAATATTCTTTAAGACACAGACTCTCATTTAAAGACATTTAGTTACTGACACCCTAGGCTACACCTCTGCCACTCTCCAACGTATGTTTAATGATTAAACTCAATTTATTTGTATTTCACCAATGCTTCTAAAGTCAATTTACCCTTCACAGCACACTTTCCCCTTTTTAAAGCTTCAGTAGCTGATCGGTCAGTTGAGCCTTACTCTGACCTTCTAACTCACTTTTATACCAAATACTACATTTCCCCTTCATACTTCACAAGAACAAAACTTTCTTCCACCCTTAAGAGCGCCTTAACCAAAAACCACTGCATACTGCTGGAAACAGAGTGCCTTGTGATGCAGCCTTTGATTTGTTACAGCAAAGCAAGCTCTTCCATCACTTTTAGTCCCCTCTCCAGACTGCTTATCTCTAACTCAGAGGTGGGGGCAGGGAAACCTGCAGGTGGATCCTCACACATCATCCCACTGTGGTCACGCCAGGCTGAATCTACACAACTTAATGATTGGCTCAGCAGTTAATTTTGGCTCACTCAATGTTTTGTTCCTACCCACACTTGCATCAACCAACACGCTACCTCTGGTTTAACTAAGGACTACACATAAACAGGACTCACGTTATGAATACCACAGTGTTTTCTCCTGCTCCCCAAAACCTCCCCCATGAAACTTTCAGTGGTCAAATTCTACAGGACAATTAAAATGCCAGCATTCAGGCACAAATGTGAACCCTCTGACTGATCTACCACTCTTCTCTGCCCCCATAGCAGCATGCCCAGTGCAGGGAGAAAGACAGGACCATGGTTAAAAGAAAACCCATGAAGTGTTTACAGAAACACGCTGATTATCAAACTTGGGAGGTGGGGATGACAGTGACAAGGAGACTTGTTGAAGTATGTTTTCCTGAACCACAGAGCAGAGTTATTTGGGACTTACAGAACTCATGTGCAAATACCTCTCTATTGTACAGCTAACAAGGGTGCCCACCTGATCCAAAGGATCAGGTAAAGGGTATGGGTCTTAATACGAGACCATTTCTATCACAAGAAATTTATTAATGTTCAAAATATCCTTTGTGTAATAATATTAGAACCCATTAAAAGCAATTAAACATTTAACACATTAAGATCTTCTACATTTTTACACATAAACTCAAAGATACAGCTGATGGAAGCTAAAGCTGTGCTTCAGCATTTCAGTTAAAATCAGAAGTGTGCTAGTGAAGCAAACTTCCTAACACCCCATTTATTGTGCTCTTGCTCACATCACAAGATGAACCCAGACAACAAGTGTGGGCTCTTTTTTTGAAGTAAATTGGAAAACATGCTCTAGAAGTTGTCAAGAATTTCAAATACTAAGGGATTTAATTTTTTTTTAATTTACTAAGCCAGGTCAAAGGGTACCCTTCTGAAAAACACAGTGTGTATTCAGTTTTCAGTGACAACTGTTTCTCTCTGCAAATCTGCCTGTTTTGGGCCTCACTGCTTGCTAAGTTACATACAGCCTTATTCACTTGAGTTAGGGCATGCAAGAGTAACTATGCTATTTAAGTAATCTTTAAAGTTAAACTCATTACAAATCGTATTTTGTGATCTACCTTAGATGGTTTAATTCAGACTCATCATGTTGACAGGAATAGAGTCCTTTCTTTTCTTGCTGTATGGTGTAATACTTGAGATGAAATAAGTCACTATATGCTAGAGCATTCTGAGTGCTGCATCACCTTAATTTACAGGGCTCCTGGACTGCAATTACTCCATTACTGCAGCCAGATGTTTTTCACAGAGAAACTACCTTCCTCAAGCGCCTCGAATTAACGTGTCTGTCCAAATTTACTCCACATACAGTTACCTTTACTGCTAGAACACTTTCTCCCTCCTTTTTTAGCTCAGTAAGGATTTGGAAGACCGAGTTGTAGATGATTTTGGGATTACTGTTAGGCTAAAGGGGGTAACTATTCTTTTGCGATTACCACATTTCCACCGAGCCCCAAAGCGTGCCGAGGATCTCGGCGCACCGAACAGGACGGGCAGCACTTGGATTTCGTTGTTTACAGTCTAAAACAGACCTTCCCCGGCTCCCGGCAAAGGCACACGAACACCGGCGGCACCCTCAGCCGGCCGAGCGGGGCTGAGCCGGCCCTTCCGCGGGCAGCGCGGCGCGGGACTCCCGCCGGTGCCACGGGGCACAAGGGCACCCCGGGGACCGGGACACGGAGCGCTCTCGGGGAAGGGGGCAACACCCTCCGCAGGGCACCGCCGAGGCACAGCCGCCGCCGCTGCCCGGCGCTGACGAAGCGCCTCCGCCACCGCCCCGGCGCCCCCGCGGGCGGGACCCCCGACCCCGCACGGGCCGGCCCGGCCCTCACTGCCCAGACCTGCCCTGCCCTGCCTCCTGCCCTGCCTGTCCTGCCTCCTGCCTGCCCTCACTGCCTGCCCTGCCTCCTGCCCTGCTCTGCCCTCGCTGCCCTGCCTCCTGCCCTGCCCTCACTGCCTCCTGCTCTCCCTGCCCTGCCTCCTGCCCTGCCCTGCCTCCTGCCTGCCCTCACTGCCCTGCCCTCACTCTGCCCGGCCCTCACTGCCTCCTGCCCTGCCCTCACTGCCCTGCCCTCACTGCCTCCTGCCCTGCCGTGCCTCCTGCCCTGCCTTGCCTGCTGCCCTCCCTGCCTCCTTGCCCTCCTTCTCTCCTTTCCCTGCCTCCTGCCCTGCCTTGTCTCCCTCTTTGCCCTGCCTTCTTCCCTCCTTTCCCTGCCTCCTTCCCTGCCTCCTTTCCTTCCCTGCCTTCCTTCCCTCCTTTCCCTGCCTCTTGCCCTCTCCCTGTTCCCTCCCTCCCAAATTCCACGTACCTGTTCATCCAAGGGCACCAGGGAAGGCAGCCTCCTGCAGAAGCTGCAGAATAAAACGTTAATGACAGCAAATGATGCACTGCCAAGAGTGCTAATGGGAATTGCGTTGTTAAGATATTTTAACCCAGTTTGACAATTTAGTGTGCCTTTGAATGTTTTTTTTTTTAATGTCTCGTAGGGTGACACACTGTTTTACACTGTGTTTAAGTGTTGCATAACTTTCTTCAGCTGCTTTTACAGTAGGGTTTCAGTTTTGGTAGAGGCTAATACAGATTTTCCTTCAATGTCTGTTTGTTGATGGCCTTTCACCTTGTTAAGAAGGCAGAATGTAATTATTTGTATTTATTAGTTGGTCAACGTATTCACCAGTACAAAAAGTTGCATTACAAAATAACTTAAGCAATTTGTTGGAATTTAAATTTAAGAGCAGCTATTAGGTAATGATATCCACAAAGTAGCATTTGTCTTGAGATTTGGGTACTAACAATACTTAAGGTACTCTGAATCAAAGTTTCTAGGCCTGCTTTTTATGTTTTCTATGACTTGTTGTCATGCTCTTATATCTGTTGGGAATTCCTATTTCCCTGGTATTCACACATAAAGAGGGGGAAAAGGGGAATAAACTGCTTAGATGGTAAAAACTGAGTTGCAGAAGTATGAGATGTTTACAGTACTTAAGCTTAAAATTTAAAATACCTACTGGTAGACTGAAAGTTGGGGATTTTCAGGTTTTTTTTGTCTTCCACAAAGATTTTTGTGGGGAAGAGGGGGAAACAGAAGAGGGAAAAAACGAATAAAAACAAAAGGAGCTCTTACTTTGGTTGAAAGATTGACTACAAAATCGTGGACCGCACCCACCGAGAAGGGATCTTCATCTCCTGTTCTGGATCTTGGGGATGATGCAATTCTTACTTCCCACACAATAGGGAGTGAAGTTACAGTGTAATGGCTTGGTTCTCACTCACAGTCAGACCCAAGAACTGCACAAGTATTCCTGCATTGAGATTAGACATAACTAGAAAAAATACAAAAAATATTTACTCCATTTTTTTCCTAAAGTGAAGAAGTAAAACCAATAAAAAGGATATCTGGGAATCTAAGCTAAAAATCAGGGACATACATCTTCCTGCACATGAATAACAAATGCTTTAAGCATTTAAAACACTACAAAAACTCAGGTGACAAATGCTCACAAAGTTAGCGTGCATGATAACAAATAGTAACAATATCACCAGGAGAAAGCAAGAGAAAAGTCCCTTTTTTTTGGAAATAGATTTATTTTTCTGATACAGTGGTGGCGTTAGTGGGACTTTAAGTTCCATTCTATCAAATATTGTCACTTCCTTATGAAGCCTGGCTGGAGCTTTGTGTTGTTTTCTGCTCCTGGCACTCCAAAAGCTCCAGCTTCAGCCACCCCCAGTTTGTAACTGGATTTATTGAGTTCTGGCTGCTCTGTGGTTTGATTTGGTCCCGAGAGATGAAAGTGCTCTAATCCGCAGGTTAGCTGTGTGGCCTGCAGGGCACAGGTCATACCATGGAATACTTAGGCCATCTTTAGTATTGGGTGTGTTCTCTTCTGCCCTTGCCCCCTCTTTTCATCCTTTCTGTGCTGAAGCTGGTTTCCTACCATAGAAACTTGACCAATAAATTCTCAAGAGGTAAATTGTGACATATCCCAAGGCTAAAGGTGAGATTCATCTCACCTGTCTTTAGCCATCTAAAATTTAGCTGTCTAGTGTAAGCAACTCATCCAGGGTCCTGTGTAGCTGAGGGAACTAGATGGGCATCTCCATGGGGTTCCCCCTCTGTGGCTGGTGTCTGAGACAGCTGTGCTGAAACTCCTTTTGGAGATGCCTGTCCCATGCTTTTGGGGTGGGAATGTGTATCACTAAGGCTAGAGACAGAGCTCCTGGATTAAACCCATGGCCATGGAGTTCTGCAGGATGCTGCCAGCAGAACCCTTCACAGCAAAAGTGCTGGGGAGTCATTAGGAACAATTAATGCTGAAGGCCCATCTTCTGGTTCACATTGAAATATGACTTCTGTAGGCATCATGTAGAAGATTTGTCCATTTTACATTCCAGTAAATGAAAGGCAAACCACTCCCTCCTGTGAACTTGCAAACACAAAAGCTGTTTTCTAATCTACATTTAGATAACATTTTCTAACTGTGAATTGAGCTATCAAGGAGCTCCTCTGGTATGTATCTAAGTGATTGAAACCTCAGGGCTGTGTCAATAGGTATGAGCTGAAAAACTGACTCTTATTTTAAAATGGTTTTTGAAGCCTTTCAACACATTATTTTAGAATTTATTTCCATACCGTCTTCTGCTGTATGCGTGTAATGCTGTTTTAATCCTTGGGAACGCACATGCTTATTTTTTGTGGTTTCTGGCTTACAAAAGTCTTTTGTTTGTCCTGGGAAAGCATGGTGTTAATCATAGGAAAATATTTTTGCATTCCCTTTTTACAAAAAATGAGAAAAAAATGCTTCCTATCTAGAAGTAAATCCTATTCTAGTAAACTATCTTTTAAAATGCAACTGTAAGTGAAATTCTCTTAAACCTACAGCTAATATGGTCCAGATTCACATAAAATCTTCTTAAAATGAAAACTGGTGTCTCAGTTAAATCTGGTTATCTGGTTTGTTTCCTTTTTTTTTTTTTTTTAAACCATCATCCTTAAATTAAGCAGTAACATTTCAATGGGAATGTTCCCTTTTGTTTTTAACCCCAGATATAATTTTTAAAACCGTTATCCTTAAATTAAGCAGTAACATTTCAATGGGAAAAAGGGACTTTTTTCCTTTAATAATATGAGAATTATTTTTGATCCCATGAGAAGGGATATAAACCACGTGTAAACAAAGGCAAAAAGGTGGGAAACGAAGGGAAATAAGAGATCTGCTTAGACAGGCTGGGGGAGCTGTATGAAAAGACCAAAGAATGAGAATTGCAGTAGGACAGCTAAAAAAAACCTCATAAGGGTACTTAACTTAAAAGAGGAAAACAATTTGTTAATGAAAAATGGATTTGCCTTCCCGGAAGCCTGGAGCAAACACTGTCAATGCTGTAATTGTGTCAGACAGCAATGCCTGAGCCCATCCATCTGGGAGAAGAGCAGAGGTGCTCAGCAGGAGAGGTGAAGTGACCGCAGCCAGGCTGTCCAGACCAGGCACTGGCACACAGCAGCTCTCTTGAGCCCCGTGAGGAAAGGCAGCTACACGTGGGGAAAGCAGAGCACGTCCTGCAGGGCCCAATGAGTGTCTGCAGCCTCGAGCCACGCTGAGGGGTCACACCTGGGAGGGCTCTGCAGGAATTAAGTCAGAAAACTGCTGAGCCTGAAACCTGCAGGCACTTAGTTTCCATCCACATATCCACACATGGACTGATGGAAACACCAGGAGCTTGGAGAGGTAGAGGGAGACCTGGTGAAACATCTGATGCTCGGGGGACTGAGGATGTGCACTCCCAGGACCACAGACTGAATGCATACCAGAGCCCACTGTTTCCACGTCAAGGGGTCATGCTGGGGAAAAGAGTCATCTCTTCACAAAACAAACTGCTAGGGTGGGAAGAACCCATCTTTTAATTTATCACACAGTCTATTGAGAGCCTCCTGAAGCAGCAATTTGGGATGACCCCTCTGCATATGTTTAGTTTAGGAGAAATAATTGCTGGTAGTGCAATATCCCACACGTATCTGGTTATTGCTTTCACTCTGAACTGCTTTAATCCAGAAGTTTACTCCTTAGTGCTTCATTATCGAGATATCTGGAGTACTGGTTTGTTGCTCCTCTAGAAAAATGCTAACCCTCCTCACCCCAGATTATAACCCAAGGAATGTTCAGTATATTTGCAAAAATAGGTACCCTGAGATTTCTTAAATGACAAAAGTAATCTGTGGGTGAGACGCTTGAAATGTTGAAACTTTGGATCTATTCCCTATGAACTGTAGTCATACCCTGAGAGGAGAAGGATGTTGAGTCATAGTGAAGAAAGGAAAGAAAGAAAAACTGAATGTTTTTTCTATTGTAGTCATCCCAGAGGTCAGACGCAACCAAGACAGACAGATGAACAACAAAAACACTGGTTAAATGACTCAAAAGGTTAGGTTTTTCAGGCATTGGGCTGAAAGAGTTCAAGTACTCTGAAAGAAAATATAAAAATAAACTGTATTTTCTTTTTGAGTCTAATGCCTGAAGAAAGATTAATTTTAACATTTATTGGTAGGAACTTTCTGAAGGACTTAGACTGTCTGAAGGCTGCTATGGATATGTGAGGACCAGAATAGAGAACAATGAAATTGCATTTGCTTTTGGAGGTGTCTGAGAGTGGCATAAAGTAACATGTCTTCTGCAGCATGATATAACATATTTTTTAAAGTAACTTATGAAACTACTCTTTTGCTTAAATAAATTCTTCTTTATGATCACTCAGCTTGCTTGTGCTACACAGAATGATTGCAAAAGTGAATGACGTATTTGAAGAGCTAAGGCTGGAAAGCATA